TGATATGGAAACAGTTCTAGATATTATGATCTAAAATTATAATGTCACCCAGAAACAGGTTATAAATTCAACAGCCACTGTAAAGAAAACAAATTACTTCCCAGGATTTACGTTCATGTTTTGAATGGATATGAATAATATCACTAATGGTATTTCAGAAACCATCAGAAATTAATTATTATATAACTTTATTCTGCATCAGTGGGAGAAGCATTAATATTTAATCTCTAATCACCAGGTGAAAAACCTTCCCATGCTGAGGAACTACAGCCCTTTATGTCCTCTGTAAATAATAGTACATTACTATGGATAATTCTGCAATATACATGATGGTTATTTTCTCATAAAGGGCATGACTGAACTCCCATTATGTGAATTGGTGTCTCACATGTTATTTGCATAGGAGTTGTCAATCCCTCAGTGAAGCAGCTAACTAATGTAAACTGCAGAGTGGCAGAAGCATTACCAAGGTTCAGAAAAGCTCATTCAATTATGGAGTTTCTGGTCACTGGATGATTACCCCAAAGGTGCAGGCTTAGTCTATTATTAGGACAACATAATTGTTAATTATTTACCAGTTTCTATATGGGACTAAACCAGTTGCTAGTAAGAGAACATGAAATAACATTAAAAGTTTATTTCATGTGTTTTCTACCTCTATCTAGGTTAGGACCTGTAGCAAATACCATTTTCATCATAGACACAAAAAATGCAGTTTCATGATGCTTCACTGTGTATTCCTGTCATACTTCTGTGCCATGCTGGCCCTAATGCAGCTAGAAAATCCTTTTGTAGCTTTTCTGAGATTTCTGAACTTCCTAGTTCAAAATCAGGAAGAAATTTTGTACCACAAAACATGATCACTGAATATACATCTCCTGTATGTTCATGGTTAGAAAGTACATACTGGTCTTGCTTTTTAAGTATAAAAATAAAAAAAGAAATCTTATTTATATATCAAATAATGGAGTATTTATCAATTTTTTTGAGTTTTCAGTAGCCCAGTCTTCTTTTTCATAGCAATTCTTGGACAGCAGAGAGGCTCCCTGTCTGGCACTGGAATAAGTGCATTGTTGGGAACACTCCATTGCCTGGATGGTGCAGGACAATCACCCTCCTTCTACTGAGCATCTGCTTGTGTTGCACAAACACTGCTTGTAATCAGAATGACCCCAATCCTATTTATTTGGTCCAGTATCAATTTAATTTGGGATTTATTCCACCTGTTTCTTATTTTCATGTTTAGCTACTTGAGCCTGCCTAAAAGTAGGGAAGAATTTTTCTGTATTTGCAGATCAGTTTCACAACAATTTTTCAGAACACAAGTATCCACTCCTGTGGATATGGAAATAGCTTAAAATAGATTGTGCATCAGAATTTCCTTTCTAAAGCACAGTTGCCATGATTTGGAAAACTGAGAACAATTTCTCAAATCAGATTATAAAGAATTTTTTTTTCTATAAAAATGCAAAGAACTGTTGGATTATTTCACATTCAGCACATCTCTTTTTACATGATAAATGCAGACTGCCTTGCAGCTTCACTCTTAGTTTGTACACATGATCAAAAGCTAGAAATTCACACTGTATCACAATATTTATTGTTGTCTTTACAGAACCTCAGAGACACTGGGTTTGTCTGGGTGTATAGCCTGTGTTAGACAGCATGGCAGACCTAATGTTCCTTTGTAGCTGCTGGTCCATGGGTCCTATAGTTCAGGTTGTTCCAATACTTCTCAAGGGATCCAAGCCAATGCAAGTGGCTCTCTAACATTAGTTCAGCAGAGGACTGATTCTATCTTAGAAGGAAAGATCTGTACCAGTAGTAGAAAATTAGGACAGTGTCATTGTATCTACAGAAACTACACCCTAGTTACTCTAGAAAACCCTTCAGTAGCATATAAGGTTTATTACCAAAATGCATGTAGGAAACACAGCAAAATATAGAGGAGTTATAGCACAGCAAGTGTTGACTACATAGAGCAGTAATGATTTTATGCAGGCTGAGTAATGACACCTTTCTTGTCCTTGAAAATGTATTTTGAATCCTGAGGTTGACAGGCATGGGTGAAAAAGCTGCCCCAAATAAGACAGAATTTTATATGGATTTCTTTCTTTAGAAGGGATTAAAGGTAAAAAATACAGCAATGGAGTTTTTGAAGCTCACTGTGAAACATCTGTGCTCCACAAAGTTTTAAAACTAGCACATTTTTAGCAGAAATGGTACCTCTTACAGTCCTGCACCATCCTGAATCAGCACAGATCTCACCCTTTAAGCATGCTTTGCTGTTCAGCAGTGGGTATTTGAGCCCACAGTGATGCTCTGTCTTGAAACTAAATTTAAAAAAAAAAAGAAAAGGCATTTGTGCTACTCTGCTCCTTACTCTCCTTGTTCACTCTTCCCAGTAAGTTTGAAAGGAAAACTCCATAGTCCCTCATTCTGCTTCCCTCAGTATCCCTAATGCAGTGTAACATTCAACAGCATGTCCCCTCTGTGGTTAGCCTGAACATCTCCTTTCTACTGTGTTACACCTGATCTGGCTTTTATGCTCAAAGCACAGCAGCTGGGAGCTGTTGGTTAGTTAGGATTGCTTTATAACTGATAAAAGTTTTCAAACAGTAATAATAATGAAGAAAATCCAGTGGATATAATCTGGAAAAAGTAAATTCTATGGACAAACTCAGAGAAGTCAAACCACAATTAGAAGCAGCACAGACAGCATATGGTCCTGTTTACATACACAAAATTACCAGTATGAAATCCAATTAAGAAGGTGGAGATCGTAATCATCACATTAGACAGCAATTTCCGACAATGTAACATGAACTCAAGACTTCAGCATTTCCTTCCCAGACTGGATGATGCTGAATTGTTAGATTTACCTAATTCGTTTCCAATAATGAGATTGTGGTGAAAGGTCCATAGGGAGCATAAAACCAGACATGCAGGACAGGCCTGTCAGCTGAGCTTTCAGTGGCCTGTACAGCAGGGTGGAAGCTCCAGAAAAGCTTTACTATTTACAGCGATTGTGGACAAAAGAAATTCCCTAAATGGTGTCTTGTGCTTTGATTCAGCCACTGAAGAGTTGAGATCAGTTGTGAAAGGGAAGATATTGAGAGAATTTCTGTTGCAAATGTATGCAGGCAAGAGAATTGTGATTTCAAGCTCTTCCATGCACCACTGATCTAACAAGAGGTATCCAGCATAGCACTTTATCCCATCAGAGAACTTAGACTGATGCATCTTTAACATCTGGGTCTATAGTTCTCTTTGGGTATCATTGCTGCATATGGTCAAATATCTTCTCTTCCTAATAATTAAAAGGAAACAGCTGCAATATTGAAAACTGTCACCTGTTGAAAAGTGTCTCCTGGCACAGCTTCCCTTTATGGCTAAGCACTTGGGGAATTCACAAAGGAACCAGAAATGTCTGATACACACAAATCACGCTCTCCAGTAATTACCCATTCGCAGCTGGGTTCAACTTGGCAAACCTTTTCCCAAAAGCCATTACACAGGTGGTCTGATATCAGGAGCACAATCCTTAGCTGTGCTCCCTGCTGGGATTCCTGCAGTGCCATAGAACCCAGGGAGAGGGGCTGGCATCAGGCATCCTGCTTGGCAGAGGTGCTGAGCCGCATCCGGGGAGACCAGTACGTGCTCTACTAGTTACTTTTCCAGCAACATGTAAATAACCTAACCTTAGGACTACCTTTCTAGCTTTTCCAGGGATGCAATTAAACTTGAATAAATTAACCATTTAAACAGTTAAATAGAGTTTTAAAAAGCGTTAATCCCCTCTAAGAAATTTTTCAGCCCAGTTAATCACTGCTAGCTGAAATGTTACGTGTTTAATGAGTTTATCCAAAGAAACTCAGAGAAGGCACCTGATGCCTCAGTACAGAAATATGGTACTGCAGCTAAATTTGTTTTTGCAGTTCAAACAAATATATTTATCACTTTTAAGTAAAATGCTTTCATTCTTTAACTTGTATGTTAGTAACATTGTATCAATTAAACATGTAGAATTAGTGTTCTCTTTAAGCATCAAGTACATAAAAACATTCGCTCCTTTGGACTTTTTTTGCCAAAATATCTCTCACACTCATCACATGATAGAATTTTGATAATATAAACATTGTTCACAACTGCTGTAACTTCATGAAACATCAGCTACTAACTTCTTAAAACAAATCTGCAATTAAAGAACAATTGAATTCTGCCATGACATTTGGAATGGCTTGACATTGATGTGCTATGAAAACAGGGACAACAAATAGAGCAGTAATAAGGAGAAAACAGGACTGTATAGGGGAAGTAATGATTTTTCTTGGAATAGGATGTTTGAGTGTTTCAAGTCAAGGCTTATCATGCCTTGCAGTATTCACAGAATTCCAGGTTTTTCAAATTTGTCATGCTTCTCCTTATTCTGTTCCCTTTCTGTAGGTTGCTATTTTCTAATATTTTTGATATGTAGAAAAATGAGGTATGTTTTAGTGTTTAGTATTTTAATAGTGAAAATCTAAGAAAATGCAACATTTTCATCTGGAATCTGAATAAAAGAAAAACAAAGAGCAGGCTTCCAGTTCACATGAAGAGTTACAGCACCTGCATGGATTTTGTTAGCTTATGACAAGTGAGGACCTGGCCAAAGGAAATCAGTCTGGGCTGATACATAGGCCAGATGTAGGTGCCAGTTGGTTGGTTTCCATGTCAATTATAACTTTTAAATTTGTGAATGCAAAAACTGAGTTGTAAAAGTGTAATTTGGAGAGCCCTGGTGCTGCTGTGGGAAACTGGGCAGACTTGGGAGGGCCTGGAGCACAATTAGAATTCCCAGCTAATACTGTTCTCATAATGCATTCATTATCTTTCTATCCACTTACAGGTAGATTCTGGCTCTAGAATGGGTTCTGAACGGGATGCAAGCAGCATGCAAGCTCCTTAGGGCTGTATCAGCTAAGTGGAGATACTCATCATGTTTTATTGTTAACAGAGAGTGAAGTCACAGGAAGCTCCGTCCTCCTGGAGGGTTGAAATCTTGAAGAGCAGCATCAGCCAAGCAGCACAGCAGAAGACATGTCTCTGCCCTTCCGAAAAGAGTTGGAGAAATACAAGAATATCAATGAAGATGAAATACTCAGCAAACTCTCAGAGGATGAGCTGAAACAGCTAGAGCACGTTCTCGATGACCTTGATCCTGAGGTTAGTAGTGGGGCCATGGGGATCATAGCTCAAAAGCAGGCTACTCTAAGTGCCATGTACTGCAGCATTTTATGTTCTGTTACAGCAGAGACAGTGTACCCTAAAGAATGAGCAGCTCAGCTAGGGACATTTTGGTTTTATTCCTGC